GGGAGGAAGAGGGAGTTGATGAGAAGCCGGCAGAGGTTGATGGAGCAGGAGCCTTCGCAACGGCGAACACAGGCGACGAAGAGGTGACGGGTGACGACCCAGGTGAAGAGGAGGCGACAAGTGACGACCCAGGTGAAGATGAGGCGACGGGTGACAACCCAGGTGAGGCGACGGGTGACGACCCAGGTGACGAAGAGACGACGAGTGACGATCCAGTTGAGGCGACGGGTGACGACCCAGGTGACGAAGAGATGACGAGTGACGACCCAGGCGATGAGGACGCGACGGGTGACGACCCAGGTGAAGATGAGGTGATGGGTGACGACCCAGGTGAGGCGACGGGTGACGACCCAGGTGACGAAGAGACGATGGGTGACGATCCAGTTGAGGCGACGGGTGACGACCCAGGCAACGAAGAGACTACGGGTGACAACCCAGGCGAGGGGTGATGACCCAGGCAACGAAGAGGCGACGGGTGACGACCCAAGCAACGAGGAGGCGACGGGTGACGATCCAGGCGAAGAGGAGGCGACGGGTGACGACCCAGGCGAAGAGGAGGCGACGGGTGACGACCCAGGCGAAGGAGGCGACGGGTGACGACCCAGGCGAAGGAGGCGACGGGTGACGACCCAGGCAAAGAGGAGGCGATGGGTGATGACCCAGGCGACAAGGAGGCGACGGGTAACGACCCAGGCGACAAGGAGGCGACGGGTGACGACCCAGGCGACAAGGAGGCAACGGGTGATGACCCAGGTGAAGAGGAGGCGACTGGTGATGACCCAGGTGAAGAGGAGGCGACGGGTGATGACCCAGGTGATGACCCAGGTGAAGAGGAGGCGACGGGTGATGACCCAGGTGACGACCCAGGTGAAGAGGAGGCGACGGGTGATGACCCAGGTGAAGAGGAGTCGATGAAGAGGCGATGGGTGACGATCCAGGCGACAAGGAGGCGACGGGTGATGACCCAGGCAACGAAGAGGCGACGGGTGACGACCCAGGTGAAGAGGAGGTGACGGGTGATGACCCAGGTGAAGAGGAGGTGACGGGTGACGACCCAGGCGATGAGGACGCGACGGGTGATGACCCAGGTGAAGATGAGGCGACGGGTGACAACCCAGGTGAGGCGACGGGTGACGACCCAGGTGACAAAGAGACGACGAGTGACGATCCAGTTGAGGCGACGGGTGACGACCCAGGCGACGAAGAGACGATGGGTGACGACCCAGGCGATGAGGACGCGACGGGTGACGACCCAGGTGAAGATGAGGTGACGGGTGATGACCCAGGTGAGGCGACAGGTGACGACCCAGGTGACGAAGAGACGACGGGTGACGATCCAGTTGAGGTGACGGGTGATGACCCAGGCAACGAAGAGACTACGGGTGACAACCCAGGCGACGGGTGATGACCCAGGCAATGAAGAGGCGACGGGTGATGACCCAAGCGACGAGGAGGCGACGGGTGACGACACAGGCGAAGAGGAGGCGACGGGTGACGACCCAGGCGAAGAGGAGGCGACGGGTGACGACCCAGGCGAAGAGGAGGCGACGGGTGATGACCCAGGCGAAGAGGTGGCGACTGATGATGACCCAGGCGACGAGTAGGCGACGGGTGACAACCCAGGTGAAGAGGAGGCGACGGGTGATGACCCAGGTGAAGAGGAGGCGACGGGTGATGACCCAGGTGAAGAGGAGGCGACGGATGATGACCAGGCGACGAAGAGACGACGGGTGAAGACCCAAGCGAGGAGGAGGTGACGGGTGACGACCCAGGCAAAGAGGAGGTGACGGGTGACGATCCAGGTGAAGAGGAGGTGACGGGTGACGACCCAGGTGAAGAGGAGGTGATGGGTGACGACCCAGGTGAAGAGGAGGTGACGGGTGATGACCCAGGCGAAGAGGAGGTGACGGGTGACAACCCAGGCAACAAAGAGGTGACGGGTGATGACCCAGGCAACAAAGAGGTGATGGGTGATGACCCAGGCAACAAAGAGGTGACGGGTGATGACCCAGGCAACAAAGAGGTGACGGGTGATGACCCAGGCGAAGAGGAGGTGATGGGTGACGACCCAGGTGACCAAGAAACGACGGGTGACGACCCAGGCGATGAAGAGATGACGGGTGACGACCCAGGCGATGAAGAGGCGACGGGTGACGACCCAGGCGACGAAGAGGCGACGAGTGACGACCCAGGCGACGAAGAGGCGACGGGTGATGACGCAGGTGACGAAGAGACGACGGGTGACGACCCAGGTGATGAAGAGGCGACGGGTGACGACCCAGGCGACGAGGAGGAGACGGGTGACGACCCAGGTGAAGAGGCGGCGATGGCGGTCGACTCTCAAACCGCCAGGACCACCTAGACCTCCGACTTCTGAACCACAGACACCACCAACTGTGGAACCACCGAAGGTGAGACCACTGACTCAGGAACCTCCGGGACCTCCAACTCTGGGACTACTGGGACCACCAGCTGTGCAACCACAGACCGTGGAACCACTAAAACCACCGACTCAGGAATTTCCGGGACCTCCAACTCCGGGACCACTGGGACCACCAGCTGGTGAACCACTGACTCAGGAACCTCCAGAACCATCGACTCAGGAAGAAGAGGGGTGGGAGGTTGGGCACCAATGCCCTCAGCCTGGACCCTCGCTGAAGATCCAGAGCGGAAGGTGAACGGCTGGACCCCAGACGACCCAAAACTGAAGGTGGGCTCAACCATTCCCTAGTGGAAGGTGGAGGGGGGCAGTCCAGAAAAAGAAAAATTGCCTGCAGGCTGGGTGCTTTGTGGTCTGTTCATTCTGTGAGGTGCAGGCAAAAATCCAAAGTTCAACAAAAGATTTATTAATAAAATAAAAAGGCTGGCAGGGCAGCTCAAAAACTCTCAGGAGAACAGGAACACAGAGAACAMCACAATGGCTGTGTAAACAACAAAATGAACAGACACAGACTGAGGACCAAACACCACATTTAAAGKGAAACTAACGAGGACAAATGAGAAACAGCTGGAGAAGACACAAGAGGGAAAACAGGTGAGCATGGGCGGGGCTGCAGGGCAAAGAAACACAGGGAACACTGAAACACAAAAACTTAGGAAATAAACACAGATTATTACAGCCAGTACATTTGACAAAACAAATTAGATTGGTATTTTTTGTTAAAGAAAGGGCTTTAACACCTGTAAAAAGTAATAATTTATTTCTTTTGTTGCAGGATTTTCTTTTTATTTTGGTTGGACTAAAAATCATTGTTTATTAGGGGCTCTTGATTCGCACATATTTGCCTGTGGGGTCACAGCTTGACAAGTGCTGCACATGTATGATTTTCATTATTTTCTTATTGTAGAAAATAGCTTTGATATTTATTAATAATTAAAAACATTGTCCATGTATTTTTTGACACAATACTACCAACAAAGCATTTATATTCTATTGTTTTATTCATTTTTTACAGGAGCTGAACAGAAAAAAAAATACATTGATAGTTTCCCCACACTGATCAACCATACTATAATAAAAACCAACAAATAAGGTTTGGTAAAAGCATAATTTCCAGAGTKGAGTTTTGCAAACAACAGTGGTCCTTCTGTGTTTGCTTTTTTATATCTTTCTTTATGCATTAATTAAGGATGAGAAAGAGACAAAGCTGYCTGGTTTCTTGCCAAATAGTGAGCCAAATCTATTCATGTACAYATCTAAAGGTGCTATATTAAATATTCTACCTTGTATGCAAAATAATGATTTGGAAACCCATATCTTACATGTAATATTGTATTACTTTACACATGTCCACAACTATCAAATGAAGCCTTATTGTAAAGTGTAAAAATATACACTATTTATAAGGCTTCATAATAAGTGCATAATAAACACTTAATAATGATTTACAAAGTGTTTACAGATGCATTAATAACCTATACAAAAACTATAAGCCATTTATAAGGGGAGCCTTATTGTAAAGCGGTACCACATTTACTTTACRTTTAAATGCAAGGTAAATGTGTTACCTTTATTCAAYTTAGTTGAGAGGAACCAGTTGACAAATATATATATTTAATTAAATCCRTTATATCTGTTTTTTAGTTGAGTCAAGCTGCAGTATATTCAGTTAAAAGCCACCTTATTCCCCACCTACACCTTTGTTCTGCAGAGCTAATTTTAAACACAGTGGGTTTCTTTACTAAAGATACTTGCTGTTTTACTGACCAATCAAGGCCACCACATGGCTGCTTAGGTTGCCAAATGGGGTCATATAGTAGACAAGTGTGGGCAAGATCTGGTTTTAAGCTGGCACTGCTGGCATGACAAGTGGTTTTCCAACTGGAYATGGGCCAGATCTGGAAAGGATGGTACTATTTTTAAGATGTTGTGCCACAACTGGCCCAGTTGTGGTTTGGTTTATGTGGTGTGTTGGCCTTTGCATGGATCATTTCTGGCAAATGCCATCTGGTCCACCAAAGGGTCATCATTCTTTGAGGTATCTGGGCCAAGTGTTAGTGCATTGTGTGGGCCAAATTTTGGCCATACAAATTTTGCTACGTGCAAAGCATTTACTCATTTGGTTACATCATGCATGTGAAGGTAGATAGYAAAAATGCAAATGTGAAATTGTTTTTAGTCTGAGGTAGGATAGTTATAAAATAAATTTAGCTCAAAAATATTTTGAAACAGAAATGACATGTTTAAATAGAGACACATTTTATTTAAGGTCACAGATTTACCATACATTGGATTTTTTAGCAYACTCTCAGCTACTGTATAAGATATTTTATCTCAAAACTAGAGATTTGTTATTTATTACTCTTATAAATATAAATCAAGTCTTCTGGAAAAAAGTCAAAGTGAAAAGTAACTCAGTCAGGCTTGTATCAGGTAAATGATTCAGTTTATTAAGGAATGTTCCAGTTTAATTGCTTGTAACTTTAATGTGTTTTTGGGTGAACTGCAATAGTGCCAAAAGCCATAAAATCTAAAATATTTTAAATTATTTTTATGTTCATTTTTGCTATATAGTCTGACATCCACCAAATGTACATGTTTTTGTGTGTGTATGTGAGTGTGTGTGTGCTACATGTGCATGAGTGGGTGGTAATAGTTTTTGGTGTTGGAGGGGATGGGCTGTCCCTATTGTTTAGAGACCTCTCCACCATCTGCCAGACTGCGCCTGGCCTCTGCCTGATCTTGCCTGACGGATAGCAGATGTTTTCCCTCACTGCTGCTCCCCAACAAGACCTTTTCCAGCATCATTCCAGCCCTTTTTGGCTAACGCTTACATAAGCAGACACRTGGCGAACACCAAATTTAAACTCTCACTTAAACAGAAAAAAATATGTATGCGCATGCTCAGAAACGTAAATAAATTCAATCAAATGCCTTCCTTCTTTTTTTGTCTCATATCAACATTTAATTTTTATACATTTCCATTTTAAAACATTTCAGCTCAATGTACAGACAACAAGGTTTAATACTTGGTTACTTGTTCCCCGCACTGTTTTTCTATTTGAACCCAGTGGACAATGACTGGAAGAAGTTTATTTGATTTCTCAACCAAAACTGTTGTGGGATTTACAAAGAAGGCAGTGGTAAAATACATTCTTTGTTTTGATGTTCCAAAATACAAAAAGGTGGTGATTTACGGTGAGATTTTTCATGCCAGCTTTGAATATTTTTAGCTGAKTCAGTTGGGATTGTGGCTTTCTTAAAATAGATGACGTCACCATCAGGAAGAAGCCATCCAAAACTGAAAAATTATCCCCATGAGAACTTTTACTATATGATATTTTATTAAACCAAGACAATTTCACTACAGAACTAATCTAACCTTCACAGAAACAGTTTAGGTCAATCAATCAAATTCTTTAGATGTCATTTATTAGTAAAAACAAGTTACATTAAGTAAAAAGAGAATTGTACAATGAATTTTTTTTCTTTTACATTGATGGAGAAAAGAAAAGCCTGGACAATGGAAGCCACCTGTCCATCATTTCAGATGTCTTAACAGACAATGCTGGTAGGTGGTAGCTGGGCAAAATGTTGCTGACAATACTGAATAGTACTGTTACCTATAGGCATTCACTGTTAAAATTACTTGTCACATTATAAGACCAAGATTTTTCTAAAAAGATATTTTGGTCTGGGTTAGAATTTTGGTCTGAATGATAAAAACATCCTCTGTTAGGGAACAAACTCATCGTGATCTGAAAWAGAGTGCCCATTGGTTTGTTTACGTCTCCAAATTTTCTTAAAAAACATTTATACACAATATGTTTTGAAACATTTATGACATTTTCAGAGGGTCCGGTGGCGCCGATGCATGGCAGCCCCACCTCTGTCAGTGTGCCCCAGGGCAGCTGTG